TTAAACTAAACATTTTTTAAAACTTTTGCCACAGCGGAATCGACGTTTAGGAAGTTCAAAATTTCAATCAAGTCAGTTTCACGTTCGATACAGAGTTCAAATTTACATGGTCATATTTTCTATGATAGATTTTGATAGAGTTTTGAAAATTTCCGAGTAACTTAATATTTATTTGTAATATATTTATTTTTATAAAATAAAATTAAAAACAAATATTTGTTAAAATATTTATTTCCGGTTTTCATTTTTTCCGATAAAGAAGTCCAAATATTGAAAAGATTGTATAAGATTGGAATTTTATATTTAACACACTTATTTTATTATATCCTCCAATAATTATTTTGTTGCTTTTAGATATTAAAAATGAAATTCACTTATATTTTTTTAAATTGAAACTAATGATACAAAGAAAAAGATTGAAATAAAAACAACACAGAACTATGAAATTAATTTTATTTTATATTCTGGAACCAACAAAATCTTTTGTTCACTCTTCCAAGCTTATAAAAAATATTTAGTACTTTGTAACTAACAGTTTCAGTGAAAATCGATTTATATAGGTGTCCATGGAGGAAACAATGAAATTCCTTCCATATTTTGAATGGTTGAACTCAAGCACTCAACAGTTGGTTTGAAAAAATACTTGCTATGCCAAATTTGCATTTCAAAAGCATATAAATACTCTAGAAACAGTCATTGTTTATTATTTACATAAGAAAGAATATATTTGTTTACAAAGAAAAATTAACAAAGTAAATTGAGTTCTTGTGAACTATTAGAACTAGTAGAACTGTTTAATAAAATTTAAGGAAGGTATCTTTATTTTTCCAAATACGTTTTTGAGAGACCATTGATGCATTTTTATCTTCCTGTTTTATTTTGCATTTCCATCCAGCATCCAGCATGAGACGGGTAACATTTCATCCGAGATATTAAAATTTTGTCACTTCTGTAGTAAAGTTTCAATTCTACTTACCTTTGAGGAGAATTTTGTAGAGCCAAAGGCAAAAGACTCGGCTTTTTTAAAAATTGTAGCGTTGAACTTGTATTATGTGCAAAATTAATTCACTAAATGAATTATAATTACATTAATATTAATTTTATAATAAAAATGTAATGTTTTACAAGTTTTTATCGGTAAAATTGTGACGGTCCAGATGGACTAGTATGATAAATAAATTAGTTTTAATGAAGACGAAATGCGACAGATTTGCCAAAACAGAGGACGGGTTCAGGAGCGCTTATATATTTCTTCGCTAATGCTGACAAACTGCGTGATTACAAAGAGATCGGAATAAAGAAATAAATACAATAACATAGCCTATCAGAAATAACTATGTATTAAATTTTCAAGATATTCGAAAGATATGATGTCTGAAAAGTTGTTTTGTCATAAGACAAATGAACGGAACACCCCGAGAACCTGGTGTAATAAACATGCCTTGTTTGTTTGTTTAAATAGCTAATTTTGTACAAAAACTTTGACGCATAAATCTCTGTCTTCAAATTTGTAATTTTGAAACTTGTTTACAATAAAAAAAAGAGCAATACCCGAAAATGGGACTAGCACCATATTTCTTACCGTCACTTACCAGTGGCGACTGGTGACTGTAATTAATGAGGGTGGGGGACTGCATGAAAGAATTGAAAATGAATTGAGATATGTTCAATATAGATGTAGGTCTACCGCGAGCTTTTATATCGTACTTTTCTTGAAGAGTACAGCTTCTACATTTCACTGTTTTTAAATATTGAACAGAGTTACTATTCGTATCCATTCTACACACAAACTAGTGGTGCTAAAACAGCATATACTTCCGCACATTCACCGAAAGGCGTTGGGACCTGAGCTGGGATCTCTCTTCCATAACCCATTCCCCATCTCTCCCCTTTGATCCACTGGTGCTGCAATGTGTGCTGGGTGGTGGCTGCGCAGGAGGCAGCTTTGAGGCATGAACTGGGCGCCCTCTTCCTCCATAACCCATTTCCCATCTCTCCCCTTGATCCACTGGTGCTGCATTATGTGCTTGGTGGTGGCTGAGCAGGAGAAGGCGTTGGTGCATGAGCTGGGCTCTACATTCCCTTTCACTACTCCTTTGATCCACTGGTGCTGCAGTGTGTGCTTGTTGGTGGCTGCGCAGGAGGCGGCGGTGAGCCTCAACAGGGCTCTCTCTTTAATAAGCCATTCCCCATCTCTCCCTCTTGACCCACTGGTGCTGCAGCATGTGCTCGTTGGTGGCTGCGCAGGAGTCGGCGTTGGTGCCTGAGCGGGGCACTATCTTCCATAACTCATTCCCCATCTCTCTCCCTTGATCCACTGGTGCTGCAGTGAGTGCTCGGTGGTGGCTGCGCAGGAGGCGGCGTTGGTGCCTGAGCTGGGCTCTACCTTCCATAACCCATTCCCCATCTCTCCCCCTTGATCCACTGGTGCTGCAGTGTGTGCTTGGTGGAGACTGCGCAAGAGGCGGCGGCGGGTCGTGCTCTTCTCTCTCTCTCACTTCCATAACCCATTCCCCATTTTCCCCCCTTGATACACTGGTGCTGCAGCGTGTGGTGGGTGGTGGCTGCGCAGGAGGCGGAGGCGAGGCACCGAGCACTTTGGCTGCACCTGAACGTGGCGAGGCGCACTCTGGGCTCTCTCCTTAATAAGCAATTCCCCACCTCTACTCCTTTGATCCACTGGTGCTGCAGTCAGTGCTCGGTGATGGCTGCGCAGGAGGCGGCGGTGAGCCTGAACAGGGCCCTATCTTCCATAACCAATGCTCCATCTCTCCCCCCTTGATCCACTGGTGTTGCTGTGTGAGCTCGGTGGTGGTTGCGCAGGAGGCGGCGGCGGGGCTTGAACCGTGCCCTATCTTCCGTAACCCATTCCCCATCTTACAGATTTGATCCACTGGTGCTGCAGCGTGTGCTCGGTTGCGGCTGCGCAGGAGGCGGCGGTGAGCGTGAACAGGGCTTTACCTTCCATAACCCATTCCCCATCCCTCCCCCTTGATCCACTGGTGCTGCAGAGTGTGCTTGGAGGTGGCTGCGCAGGAGGCGGCGGTGAGCCTCAACAGGGCTCTCTCTTCCATTTCCCATTCCCCATCTCTCTTCCTTGATCCACTGGTGTAGCAGCGTATGCTCTATGGTGGCTGCGCAGGAGGCGGCGTTGGGGCCTGAACTGGACTCTCTCTTCCATAACCCATTCCCCATATCTCCCGCTTGATCCACTGGTGCAGCAGCGTGTGGTCGGTGGTGGCTGCGCAGGAGGCGGCGGCGGGGCGCGGCGCGGAGGCGGAGGCGACGCACCGAGCACTTTGGCTGCGCCTGAACGCGGCGACGCGCGCTCTGGGCTCTGCGCTGGGCGCGCCCATGCTGCTGCTGTGCGCCCTCTGGGGCACGCTGGTGGTGGTGGCCGCGTACGGCTGCCTGGCGGGGGCGGTGGAGGGCGCGACGTGGCGCAAGAACGTCGGCATCGGTGGCTACGCCTTCCTGTGCATGGGGTTCTTGCTCGTTGTCAGCGATGCCGCGCACCGGCTCAGCTCCGAGGTCGGTGCCGCTGGTCTTGCTTTGACTTGCCTCGTTTGATTGCAGAGCGTTGCCAATCCTGCATCTCATTCCTCACTCTTTTACATCCTCACAGTTATGTGTGTCTGTGTGGTGTACATGCTATGTTCCCTTCTCTCTCTCTCTCTCTCTCTCTCTCTCTCTCTCTCTCTCTCTCTCTCAGGTTTTGGCTGCTGTTCTCGTCAACTCACGTTCTGCGTCTCTCTCGTTCAATCTTCGCTCTTGTTTTTCGTTTTCTCACTTTTCTCAACACACGACACTTATAACCTCGTATCTATTGCAATAATTTTTTTTTGTTTTCTGCTGTCCTCTCTTCCCTGCCCATTTGCCTATGCTTTGATTGCATCATTCACTCATGCTCCGATTTCACAATCATTCCCGCTCTGCAGATATGCTTCATTTTGACAATCATATGACAATGCCCTACATATTTATAGAATAAATTGATACCAAAAATTCGTTAGAAATGATTAGATCAGTGCGTGCAATAGTGCGTATAATGTATTAACTACTCTTCGCATTACATTATGCATTATTATTACATTAAATGTGGAAATAAAGAAACACAAAATAATTTTTATTACTTTTAAAGTTATAATTCATGTCAATTTTCTAAAAACCAATTATGCATTTTTTTCTTCTTGAGTAGTATTTGTATGTCTTGTGATTTATTTAGAGAATGTTCTTCTACTTTGTTTCATATGAAATCCTTGACATCATCAATATCTCCTCTTCAGTATTCATTATCCTAAAAAATTAAATTTCCTCAATACAGCGGCAATTTTTCATTCGCTGAAAGGAAGATAACGAAACATTACTGTGTGACGTAATGAGTCATTGAGTTTAAGAAGCAAGCATTTTTTAAGCATTCTCAAATTTTAGTAAATGTTTTAAACCACGATGTAATGCAATGGGATTTAAACCAACTCATTACTTAAACCGTAATTGTAAAACAGGTTTAATATTTAGCTTCTCTGTAATGTTGTGATGACGAAGGGGCCAAGTCAATCGTCTTGTTGTGTAGTGAATTGAATTGAATTAATGCCTTATTTTACGTGGTTAGGCTTGGGCCATCAAGCCCACTCTTCCGTCTGACCACGTAAATTTTGCTACGCTCCTTTCACCAACTAGCAGAGGAAGGAGGTATATTTTGGGCGAGAAACAGGCGATTTTGAATTTATCTCAGAGCCGTAGGCGTCATTTACGTTTGAGGATCTTTTACATGGAAGTAAATCTACTAACATGGGACAGCCAGCTTTACTTCTCCTCAGGAAGGCGTACGAAGGATTTTTTCGCCCTTAAAAACCCACGGCTTCATCGGGTTTGAATCCACCAACTTGGGTATACCAGTCCAATACGCTAACTGTTACACCATCGCCTCCGCAAGTGAAAGTATTATCGTATTTATATTGGTGTCGTATGCGTATATTTTGGTTGCTGACCGCCAATCAATGGTGAGGCCGGATGGCGACATGGTTGATGAGGCAGCTAGGTTGCCTGGAGGCAGCATGGCATAGGGCTGTGCCCTATCGACCTCTGCCCGAATTGCTGTCGCGCGTGATTTCGATGTTGGGCGCGTACCCAGTAAACTTAGTGTACTCTATCACTAGGTCCTGTGTTACAAACGAGGACTGAATCGCCCTGTATGGAAGATACAAAAGCAATGGCGTTTGCAATATTCATGGCAAGTCCGCATAAGACCGAGTGATCATTTGAAGATCTTATCTCTCTTTATGCTTTTCCATTTTTGTTTGCTGTATTTCGATCAACGCGCACGCAAGGAGACGCAAGGAGTAGCCGGCAAAAAAAATTAGAACGACGTAAGTAATTGAGCTGAAGGTTTGAATCATGAAGAATTTAAATTCAGTCAGTTTCATCATAAATGTGTGTCGTGGGTTCACGTAATATTAACATTCCAGTTGAGCCTGCTTCCTTCGGCGGCAGATACTTTCAAGATGACAATTTTAGTTTTGCTCTGCAGATTTACATTAAAAAGTAAATTATTTTCAACGCAAAAAATTTGCCTGCCTCGTCTGTACCCAGTAACGAAGTGTTACATGAAATAGTATCGTCAAAAGTACGTTTATAATAGTCCCGGTGTTCCTTTACAATGGAAGTAGGTTTAACTATCGTCAATATAATCAAAAACGTTTGTTAATATGACGAATTATGCCATGAAGATTCCATGAGAGGAGAGCCATGAGTTGGAAAGTCAGTGTAGTTATACTCAGCATTCTAGAGTTTTAAAACTCCCAAAACAGTTTTGTCTAGAATTCTTTCAGAATATTCTAGGAAGATTCGGCTAAAAATAGGGCCAATCAATTCGTCTTTTCGAGAGCAATCAAAAGTGATCATCGCCATACGTGCTTTAAAAGTATCCCAAAACAAGTTTTAGGTGCTCAACACCTTGAACATAACGTTGACACTTCATTTGTATTGATTAATGGACCGGAAATGGTCAAGTCGTCCGTGACGGGCACACGGACTAGGGTACTTGAGAACAAATGGAGAACAAACTGGGGAGGAGCTTATTTCTAAGTTTCCTGTAACATCTTTTGTAGGACTAGCTAAATTCGGCAAGTCCTTTCGCGATGTGATAAATGAATAGTGAGAAACTTTTAAGTCTTAATATTATGAGTGAGGCGTTACAAGATCGTTTTTTACTTCTCAAAAACGGATTGTTACATGTGACATATATTGAAGGATTTGGGGCAGATTTTAACGGTATGATTCCATACCTCTTGTCACTCCACCGTTCGCACTATATTCATCATGCCACTTGTAATTTCCAGCACTTCAATCTTCTCATTATCTTGTTTTATTGAACATGATCTTATCACCCTAGGCTATGCGAAAGCATTACCCTAAGGAAGACCGGTCGACCTTAACCACTTTGGATATGCACATGTATATTGTTTTTTCTCTGAGGTATCTGATCGTTCTTCGATGCGATTCAGTTGATTTTATTATTATCGTTTAATTTCGATGATCGTTCGCGTTGGGCTTAATAGACTGCGGGATTATGGTCGTGGACCCAAGAGCACATGGAGAGCATTTTGGAAATACAGTGCATTTTAGTCTCCTCCTACAAATTCTACTTGCTATTTAGTTGATTTATCGGGTGCTATTCGAATAGTTTTGTCACATCCGCCGCGATTAGTGATAACATAGTTTATTTATCTAATGATTTCGAAGCGGCATATTGGCACCAGCGCTGTAATTATTTATCAATTCTTAAAACCTTCATGAATGCTAAAAATAGAATGCACATCAAGGGTATATGGAATTTTGAGAAAGTTGTGGAAGATATTGAAGTGAAATTAAGGAATGGAAATTGCAGACGAATAGACCCGTTTAACTTCAGATTTTTTGCTATATAAGCTAGCTAAGAGAAAGGGTGTCTTTCGTCTTTACTAGAACACCCCTATACTTTATTCGATCTGGAACTCCCTAACACGTTCATTAGAATATCAGTTTGATATTTCAAATCAAAGCAAATTAGTTACCGATTCTGTTATTCGAAGTTATTGTTCTCAAAGACAGCACTGATTCTACTCTTGGTAGAATGCCGACTCAATAATTAAAAGGTGAAACAGGGAAATAATAATGAAGTTTGTCGGTTTTGATAGCCGAGGTCGTTACGGCTGAAGGGCTGTTGCTACCTCGGCTCGAAGGGACGTGGGTTTGAATCTCGCCTCGGGTATGAATGATTGTGTGTTACTGTTGTCCCTACGTGATATTCCTACAGATCCCCTTGCAGTTGAAACAATTACAGTGGTCGCTATTTGACCAAGTTGTTAAAAAGCGACATAAAAAAGGAAGTTTAGAGGCCTGCCCACCTTGCTCACCTCGTATTTCATATGGCAAGTACGATAGTTTGAGCCTCGATTTACAGAAATGAAATGTTTGTTAATTCTTATCTACGCCACGTTTCAGATCTAACCGCAGTGCTTGGTTTAGTCTGCCAATGAAGGGGGCGCAACTTGTCACTACGTAACGACCACCAGTGATCATGGAAATGGATCGCCGTGTTTTGTCTTGAGTCGATTGTAGTCTGCCATGTAGATGACAATTCGATACAGGTAACAAAAACCGGATTCGTTAATTAATTCAGTCGATAATATCAGTTGATTTAAACTTTGGCACGAACAGGAAATTGATCGTTGGTCTTTTGTGACCTTCCTTCAACCTATTACTACTTAGATAAATTGAAGATAATTGTTCAGCATGGTCAAATAGAAAGGCTGGTTAACCTATACATCGCAAGATCCACGCTCAAGATAATTATTTATGCATTCAATGTTATTACGATTCCTTTTATTATGGACTATCAATATTTAACAGTGGAGATTGATTCGTTGATGTTTCCGGGTAGGTCAACTGCTATGGTCATTAGTCATGATAGTTTAGTGAATGTTGTTATCCCAGGATGTGGCAGTGTTCGTTCCCGGTGGAAGGTCGGAACCGGCAGGCGGTTCCTGCCGAAGGTGGAAACAATAGCCCGCAAATGACGAAGAGCAGCAAAAAGGTTGCAGACTTATTCATAAAACTCGTGGAATGAAGTAAAAGAAAATATACTACTGATACAGAGTGTCACATTAGAGCAGGGAAAATTATTTTCAGATCAGAAATATTTTTGCATTTTTGATAATACCTACTTTATAATGTTAATTGTTTACAATGTGATTATTTCTTTAACTTGAAACATATATTCAAAAAAGTTGTAACAGAATTCATATAATTGAAGTACCCTTATTTTTTTCTCGTATCATAATGATTACATGATTGCGGTGAAATACCCGTGTGTGTCCTTTACTGTAGGCTGCTTAATAAATCTCTCTGATATTTGTCTCTAGATGACAGTCTATAAAAGAAAAGTTTTTTTTTGTTGGTTATGTAAAGCTTACAGGGTGTTATGTAAAAAATAAATATTGATGTGAAGTCTAATGACAATGCGGTTTAAATAATTGAAAGAATTGATGAATGATTGCTCATTCATGTCCCTCTACATTAAGTATATAATTTTGTTTTGTTTTCATTTACTTGTTCATGCACTTTGTATGAAAGAAAGTGTTGGGATGCGAAGGATTTTGTAATTCATTTTCAAGGGTTATGTGATTCCAATTTTTCCTTCTCATATTCCCCCCGAAAAAGGGTCTGAAACGTAAATATACATACAGTTTTGTTGACGTAGCAAAGGATATACAGAGCACTTCAATAATATTTTATTGAATTAAAATAATATAAAAGTTTTGATCATTGGAATGATTAAGAACTAAAACATGCTTGAATATGTAAAAGATCGGTTCAAGTTGCAGTCTTTCAATAAACTATTAATTTCATTCTGATCTTGATTCCAAAATATTGGAAGGCTCGTGGCTAGCTCTTGGTCACCGTGCTCGCTTTCCACAACGCTACCCGGGTTCGATTCCCGGCCGAGCTAAGGCTATAGTGTGCGTTTTCCTTGCAATGTCCCAGTGTATGTCGCTGTGTGACGATGAGAAAATTCACTTCTCAGGTTGAGAAGACCGGAATACGGCGTGGGGATGTCTACGTGCTAACCACACGTGCACCCATAGCCGCGAGGCAGGGACGTCGCCGGTAGGCCTGAGCCCGTTGAGGGGCTGTCGCGCCTAATACTTAAATACATACATATGAAATATTGAAAACTGAACTTAACCTCTGAGATAGTATCAATAGAATTTATCCATAGAACCTTGAAATTTGTACATAACAATATTATATGAAAAGGCAAAGCAAATTTTAAAAAAGACGCAATAAGACGCAGCGGCGATGGTGTAACGGTTAGCGTATCGGACTGTTGTACCCAGGTTGACGGGTTCCAACCCGATCGAAGGGTTTAAACGTGGATATTTAAGGGCGAGAAAATCCTTCGTACGCCTTCCTTCGGAGGGGAATAAAGCCGGCTGTCCCATGTAAAAGATTCTCAAGCCTAAATGACGCCTCTGAGCAAAATGCAAATCACCTGTTTCGTCGCCCAAGAAATACCTCCTTTCATCGTTAGTTGGTGAAAGGAGCATAGTGAAATTTGCGTGGTCAGACGGAAGAGCGGGCCTGATGGCTGTAAAAACTATAAAACGCTTATAGCAGATGCAAATAAGAGTGAAGTTATTGAAGCTGTAAAGAGAAAAGGTTTTTTACGTAGAGATGATTATAAGGCCGATGCTTTGGCATTCATGTTCTATATTAGTAAAGATATTAATTAGACGAAAAATCCATAAAAAGTGGGTCCTTTCAGCCATGCTGGCGGGTTTGGTGGTGCTGACCTCAAGCCTTCTTTAGCGTCTGAGATATTTTGAATATTAACTTTTTAATTATTAAGGATTTAAATTATATGAATTTAGCAATCCACTACTATCCTGTTGAAAACCTCGTCGAATATAAGCGAAATCCTGATGACGTAATAAATAGAATGTGTGCTTCAATCAGGGAATTTGGCTTTCGTATACCAATAGTTGCAAAAAGCGATGGTCTTTAACCTGGACACGTAACACGAGACTTTGTTCCTTGAGAGCAGACGTTCATCCATTTGCGCGTGCGTGCGCAGGTGGGCGAGGCCAGCGCGCGCGCGCTGCTGCGCGTGGCGGCGCAGGCGGGGGCGGGGGCGGGGGCGGAGCACCTGAGCGCGGAGGCGGGCGCCTTGCTGCGCGACGCCGCCCTGCAGCCGCCCTCCGTCTCCCTCGCCGGCTTCGTCACGCTCGACCGCGGATTTCTCTCCGGGGTGAGTGCGTGCGCAGGAAGGAGGAGGAAAAGATACAACTTGTTATTTGTAACTAGTACTGAATGTGAGGTTAGGTACGAATTAAATGTTTCTAGCAGAGGAAGACGAAGGGAAAAATAAGATAGTTGATTAGCGGAGGACAAACTGTTCAGATTTAAAACTGCTTGAAAATAAAATGGTCACAAAAACTCAATTCGAGGTTGACTTAATATCATGTGTATTTTCATTAATGAGCATTCGTTCTTTTCTTGAAATTCCCTTCTGTTTCTTAAATTTATAACATTTTTGTCGTATTTTACAATTATTACCTTTAGTACATTTGTATATTACTCACTAATTGAATGCTGAGTTTTATTTCAAAATAAAATGAAATATTCTTCTAAACTGATTGATCAAGTTATTATCACTAAAGCGTCAGCAGCACATACTTTCTCGAATTAACGCTGATTATTCACTCTCTATTCAATAAAATTTGGATTCCAACTATCTATTTTTATTATTTGATAAAATTTGGACAACAATATTATGTAGCAAAGTTGAGATTAGGTGCAAAGTTTGTGTTTCCAGCTCATCTCTGGTTCGCAAGGACCGAGGGAGATTAGTTGTCACAAAAAATATGGGGATGGTTGTCACATGTGACAGCCTACCCACGTATTTTCAATAGTTCATATCGTTTGATTCAGGTAAAGATGGGTAGAAATTATTATAAAAGATGGGTAGAAGACTAACAGAGGAGAAGTTCCAGACTTCATACTTGTTTCAGTGAGGAAAATATAAATATAAGTAAAAATAAAAATAGAAATAGAAATATTCATGCCGACCAGTTACGGCAATTTTAGCAGATTCACCTGTAAGTAGGAAGTAAAACGTAGGAGGAACGACAAATCTCAATTAGTGTCGAAGAGAATGCTGATTGATTTTGTTTAGTTTGTCTTGAACCGTTTTGCAACAGTAGAGCTAAGGAAAAATGGAACCTGTGTATATAATGAAAGAAGTGGGATCATGAATTATTTACCCCTGAACCAAATAACTTATATTCAAATCAAAATTGTGAGAGTGCGCTCTAAAGTGAATAGGCTCAAACAGATATTTTTTGGAATATTCTCTTACATCAATATTTTTGTTTCTAAATTGATCTTCAATATATATTATTGCTTATATGTTGATCGATATCATAGATTTTTTATTTTAATACAAATATATTTGCATACCAATTAATGTCTATTTTTTCATTTAACCTAACCCGTGACAACCAACCCAGAGTCGGGGCAGGTTTTTTCAAAAACATTACTCTGACAGAACAAGAGGTTTGAATTTCATAAGGATGAATGTACTATTCTTAGAAGGATGTTTCTACTTTGGGGTGGGGGGTCCAATTTTCACCTTGATCGATTGACAGTTACGTCGGAGACATTTTACCCCCAGGAAATATTTTGTACGAAGTGACCTATGTATTTCTGGGGAACACATGTATCAAATATTAAATTTTGTTTAAAGGATTAGTAACCCCATCTGGTTCCCCCTTTTGGGGTCCGGTTGCTTTCATTGCGATTGAGTATTGAAATATTTATTTCTCAAATCTAATAGCAGTGTTTCTTTTTTTTGCAGTACCTGTCTTCAGTGATCACGTATTTGATCGTTCTTGTGCAGTTTCGGATGAGTCAACACTAGCGACGCCTTCATCTTCGCACTGTAGAAGAGAAAAGTTTGTATTTCTTGAAAATGTTTTTATCAATTGGCACTTGTTTTAGCATTTATTTTGTGCAACTCTAGGCACATTAAATAATTTTTATGGCAAAACTGAAGGGAAGATAAATGTACACAATTTTGATACTTTTTAATGTTAACAATTAATTTAAATAAATGATATAAATGAAAATATTTTAATCGTTTTTAAAATCACCCTGAACGAAGTAAATATTGTATTAAATAATAAAATCGTAGAAAATTAGTTCAATTATTAATATTATAATCAAATAGCAAAGTTGTTTTTTAAAACTACCAAGGATTGACTCGCCAACCGAAAGTTAAAATGTATAAGTTACTTCGAAAAGACTGCTGATATGCCACTTCACAATTACATATTCAAATATATTCGTATGAAAAGAACTTTTTCGTATAAAAGTAAATAATTTCTCAAACAGCGTCAATCTTTGCAAAAGTGAGATAAGACCGCCTTTTGATTCTGAATTTCTCTTTTAGCTTTGTTAGTTGTGAAAACGTCACATTTCTGTTTATTAATATAATCTAAGTTGACACGTTTCTCTGTTTTCTTCGAGTAGGCTACTTATGCGGAGATGCGCTTACGAGTACCAGTATCATGCACGCGCCAAAACTGCTGATATGCCACTTCAAGATAACATATTCAAATATATTCGTTAAAAAGAACTTTTTCGTATAAAAGTAAATAATTTCTGAAAGGACATCACGTTTCTTATTTATTTCCTTCCATATTAACACCAAGGAGTATTATCTAAATAAATGTTAAATTGTCTCCTTTCACGACAAGAGAATTTTCTGATTGAAAGAAGCTGGTAATTCCAGAGAAAGTGAGTTGTTTTTTTTGATTCAGTAATTAGGTAATATACTCGTATTATACTATACATCAGTAATTTCTAGAATTTGTGTATTATAATGTACTTGGTCTGTGGTATAAAGGTCATTTCAATCATCATACTTCTTGATGATGTGTATACTTCTTGATGATGCAATTTTCACAAACATAAGTGTAATAAACAAACGATAAATTTGCGATATCACAACACAGGAAATAGGTCATGGTTATCACGAAGCACAACTGCCAATTTAAAAACACTTCCCATGCAGTGCAAGTGTAGGTATGTAACAATATTCCTTAGGTTCCGGACACAAGACGAACGGAATGCAATGTTCAATATCCACGACAGAAAATTTTAAATCTTTACACGCAACACGAATGATGTATTTTACATTATGCTGCCTGTAATATGCAGCCAGCTCTCTCAAACTCCCGCGCTGGCAGAGTGATGACAGCACGGCGAGGCGAGAGTTATGGCCATTCACAATGCAAACATAAAAATTAGCATAACGCAAAGACGTAACGTAAATATTAACATAAGCGATAGACTGGACTATTCACATTATCTGACATAAACGTAAGCAAAATAAAGAGTTTCTTTTAGCTGTGAGACTTTCTAGTTTACTATTGGTTGGATGTGAGAATCGATTTCGAGGTATCGACTGTGTCCATGGCCCATATGGCGTTAGTTCGTCTATCGACTTCGATTCTATTTCGATTCTCAATTTTGAGTTAACGAACTGTGATTGGTTCCTTAAACATAAGCACAGAAGCTTGAAGCTTGCAATCTCTTAAGTTAACGTCTTACGTGTTATGCTTATGCTCAAAACTGTCTTTAGAGCTTATAATCGACGTTTTGACGTTTCCTCCGCAGACATCCTGTATAAGTTCGCCGGCAAGGAGCAATTGACAGGGTAGTTTCTGATGTGATCGCGAGAAGTGGTGAGCCAAGGTGCGGGTCCTGTCAGTGGACAACTCTTCTGGTAACTCGGCGAAAACAGCAAGTTTTTCTGGCACATCTGGCGGCGGCAACTTGGCGAGAACTCTGGTCTGTTTCTTCTAGTTATTCAGCAACTCGACTTTATATATATATATATATATATATATATTTATTTATATATTATATATATATATATATTGTATTTGTGGCTGAGCTGGCACTACCGCCTTCAGGCACTTCAGCCCTGAAGAAGACCGCGATGGGTTGGTCGAAACGTCGGCACCTCAGCCTTCGACACGGCGTCACCCGGGTAGCCCAAATCACACTGAACGCATGTTTTTCGCCCGCGACACCCGCGCCGTTTTCGGCTCCGAGTCGGCCAACAGCAGCGCCCGCTCTTTAACGCACCAGCAACCGCCAGGAGGGCAGTCTACCGCAGTTGGAGAGGCGTCATGCCAGAGACAGTAGAGTCGCCGTGACGGAGGCGATACTGGGCCGTCGTGGGTGAGCAGGGGAGGCGACTGAAAGAGGCGATTCCGTGGGAATGGGCGAGCAGAGCGCTTCCACCATAGGCGGCCAAACCTGGGGCCGGGGCCCGTGCTTTGGAAGCACGGGAACAAGCAAAGAGGCATCCACAAGCAGTAGCTATTGACTGCACTGGGGAGAGGGGATGGGGGCACATCGCGCTTTAGTCACTTTGGGGAAACACGTTAATAATGCAGCCTAATTTAATAAACGGCAACTAATACATTTAATAAATTAGGGTAATAAATTATTAATAATTGATTACTTAATACTCTAATTGGTTTGACGTGATTGTGCTAAATTGGTCGTGTCAGCTTGATACCCCTGTGTTGTATAAATATTAGTGAATAAACTGTTGTTAAGTTGTTTCCCACGTTTATTATCTGACTACATTATATGAGTACCTACTAATTTATCAATTGACTTTATTTGATTGTGAGATATCGTCTTTAACTGTTAAAATAGAGCAGTGGAAAAATTATTGTTCGTGTAACGAAACACTAAAACAATAGTACATATGTTTTTCAGTTGGTTTTATTCCATTGAGACCGATTATACATGTTGTTATACGTACTACTCAAATGACTGGCAGGCCATGATAACATTTATTTAATAAACAACAAAAGTAATATAATTTGGGGATAATAAATGAGTAATTTTCCAATTAGTTGAAATTGATTTTTCTCGTTCCTACGTTTCATTATACCTACACATACAAATGGAGCATTACTGACGCGCCGACTTAATAACATTCATTCAATAAATGGCAACAGTAATTAATTTACTTTGCGGTAACACATTAGTAGTAAGTGTGCATTTAATTATCTAATTGGTTTTATTGATTGTGTCTGTTCGTAGTCTCTATTATCATTCTTGAATGTCTAGTTGCATAACTCTGAATCCTTTTTAGCAATATTTATTTAATAAACAGCAAATGTAATAAATGGGTAATGCATTAGTAATATTTTTATTAATAAT